CCGTACGGAATCGCCGATTCACTGTTCGGACTCGCCGATTCCGTACAGTGAATCGGCGATTCACTGTATAGAATCGTCCGGTTCTCTCTAGAACCGGACGATTTCCGATTTTTGGGCGATCCGGTCCCCTTTTCACGATTTCCGAGTCGAACCGGGCGAGTCCGGTTCGACTCGGCGTTTTTTAAAACGCTGGCTGAAACTATCAATAAAAATAGGATTTGAGGTCCAAAGCACTTTTTCTCCTCAGGTGCACGACCCGCTGCCAGACGCGCGGCCCAAGCACGACACATAGAGGGTGGTGTTCGTAGGACTGCTCAGTCATTTCGATAGGACAATCTTCCCTAGGTTCCAACTTTTTGGCGGTATTTGAGCGATTATTCAACTGCTGGAAAGCTCTCATGGCTTACTATGGCTTGAGATAATTTTCGTATAGTTTTGGGACAATTCTACCATTTTTAGGTAAATTATAGTCAATGTGATCCTTAAAACTCAGATTCAGGTTTATAGGAATTCACTATAATCAATGTGATCATAAAAAATCAGATTCCCCTTTGGCATTTTCCTAAGACACTGGATAAATGACAAGAAAGTAGACACCCGAGATACGATGAAAAGAAAAATTGAGGGGTCATCCTTTTGTATGATCTATACCCTCTTGGAAGGTGGTACACCAATGAATATTTTTTATCTGTAAGATATCAAACTGGTACTTTACTGTCTTTGACACAGTTGATAAGTCTTCGACAATCGAGATCCGAAGTGAAACTCAGTGGAAACCGTACTATCTTTGAGCCAGTGACTTCTCATTGTTGAGGTCGTCCCAATGCTACCTAGGATGCAAGTGCAATCCTCTTTGGCTTTAAACCTTTGCTTTTTAGTTTGATTTTTAATTGAATGTGAATATGAATTAATAAGAAATGATTGGTGATGAAATTTTAGCCAATTAACCTTCTATCTGCCTTTGATTCTAAAATTCTTAGGTTCATAGGTTCAGACTGGAATTTGGGAACCTGTTGATTCGTTTTCCAAAGGGTTTGCAACATCGCATTTAGGATTTGGTGTCAACGAAATCATCATGTCCGGGACTTTTGAAACTCTTTCATTTTTCAAATTTTTTAAAAATAGGGAGAAATTTTTGGAAACAAATGCAGGGTTTCGGGCTATAATTATAACCAAAGAAATTAAGATTTTGAAAACTCACTAACATTTAGGGGAAGGTGTGAAAATAGGGATAAATTTTGAAAATGGGTTGGTAAGCAATTTATGCACTTTCCTCCACGGAGTTTCTTTTTTTTTTTTTTTTTGTTCCTTCAAATATGAGCTTGTTGAGCCTCAGCTTGGGATCTTTAAGATAAGGAATCATTGAGTACTCTTTCATCTTTCAATCTTGGCTCTCGTATCACTGTTTGAGGGTATTCTTTCTCAATAAAAACACTAAGAGCTTCTTATCAGGAAATGATATTAAATTAAAGGGAACCAGTAAAAGGGTGCAGCGACATCAATATAATTGATGAGAGAAGCCTTTCTATCAAAAAAAGTGAGGAATATCCAACTTGACACACCCTTAGATTAATAATTAGATGCCACAAGATACACTAAGATCAAACTTCAATCAAATCTACCTAAAAACCACATTCCAATATTCCAAATTTTAATTTGAGGTGTGATAAAAGTATTCCACAAATTTCAGCTCAAACCAAACCTGAATGATAAAGACATGGATCTAGCAAGAACCCATACCACATGCCTTATAATAGCCCTACAATTGCAAAGAAAGCCAATGCAAGTTGTGCTATAATGGTCCAAATTTGTTTTTATAGAAGGTAGGAACCATGATGAAAAACTCAAATCTGAAATTTTAGGCCGATCCGATTTGAGGTCATTGAGATACATATCTGACAAATTTAAAATTTCAAGTGGGATTGACATGTGAAAAAGGGGTCTACCAAATATGGATCCAAATTTCCTTCATTTCTTATGGAAGGAAGGCAATGTTATGACAGAGTTACGTTCTAAAGTTGAGCTTAATCTGAAGCCAAACCAATGAGATATGGTCATCACAACGGTGTAAAACTCTATGAGGGTACATAGCAATCAGCTTGGCTTTATAGAGAAACTTTGAGAAATATGAGGCGAAAGTGTCTAAAATCTTTACAGAAAGAAAATGTAAATAAGAAAACCATATTTCCCAAATTTCAGCCAGCTCTGGTATCCAGCAGTACCTTTTCTAAGGCTTTATTGGTTGGACTACAAATGGACCATCAATCTTTTTCTAAAAGGCCCACAGTAAGCTATATGATCCATCGGGCCATGGGAGTTGCAAGAGCCACAAAAATTTTGGAAGCAAATTGATGGGGTAATATCTCATAAATGACATAACCAAATGGGCTCAAATTTTAATATGTTGTTACTTACTATATGGGCTTTCAAATGGTATACATATCAAGGGGATTCTTAGACTAAATCATAGCTATTTCAAAGGAAAAAAAAGGGGGATTGAAGTAATTGAAAAAGTTGCAGTTCTATGACCTCCGATTAATCATTGATTAATATCTCACGATCCAAGAAGTATTTTGATCCGAAATTTGGCAAGGATTCCTGACTCAGTGCTGCTCGTATCAATATATAGAAATTTGAAATTGGTTGAATATTTTGGTATCACAGTTTCTGAAAATGGAAAGAAGTAAAATAACAATATCGCTCCAATCCAATATCATCTTGGGCCAAAATTTTTGCCAAACATTGTCTTGTTGTCTTCCAAAAGAGTCTACCGATTGAGTGACAAACAAT